CGTGCGCGAGCCCAGCCCCACCTTCGCCGATCACTGGTCCCAGCCGGCCCTGTTCTGGAACTCGTTGGTGCCTGCGGAGCAGCAGATGGTGGTGAATGCGATTGTGTTTGAGAATTCCAAGGTGACGAGTGTGCATGTGCGGCGGAATGTGGTCGCGCAGCTGAACCGCGTGGATCATGCGTTGGCGACGCGGGTGGCCAGGGGGCTGGGGTTGGAGGTGCCGGAGCCTGAGGGCAGGTACTATACCTCGAATGCGACGGTGAATGTTGGGACATTTGGGCAGCGGTTGCTCAGTGTTGAGGGCCTATCGGTCGGGGTGTTGGCGTCGACCAAAAATGAGGGGTCGCTGAGGCTTGGGGCGGAGTTGGCGAGGGTGCTGGCGGTGCATGGGGTTGATGTGCAGGTTGTCGCGGAGGTGTGGGCTGAGGGTGTGAATACGACGTATGCGCTCTCCGATGCTTCCGGGTTTGATGCGGTGGTTGTGGCGGATGGGGTGGAGGGGTTGTTTACGACGGGCAATGTGACGACGATGTATCCTCCTGGTCGGCCGGGGCAGATCCTGGCGGATGCGTTTCGGTATGGCAAGCCCGTTGGAGCAGTGGGGAGTGGGAAGCGGGCGTTGAAGGCGGCGGGCATTGACGTTGGGAGGGACGGGGTGTATGTCGCTGGGAATGCGACGGGGTTGGCGGAGGAGGTGTTGGAGGGATTGTATACTTTCAGGTTCTTGGACCGGTTCGCATTGGATGAGGAATGAGGTCGTCTGCTGGAGGATACTGAAATACAGAGACACCACAAGTTGGTCCTGGTACACGAGGGTAACTTGGATTTGGAATTGTTCATGGGTGGGTTGTAGTAAATGGAAATGAACGGGAAGGCAGTATTGAGACGCTATCCATATTATAACTAAATAAACATTGTTCAGAATATTCACTCGAATTGAAACCCAAGAAAAACACGATGCAAATCAGATCAACCCAAAACATCTTATCACCAATCTTAGAAACACGCAAGCACCTAAGTATACTTCAACCGAGCCTCAGTCCACTCAGGCTGGTATCCCAGCTTCGCACCGTTCATGTCGAAGCTCGTGCCCGACCCAGCGTCGAACCCACTCGCGTAGGCACCATAGGTGACGAGCTCAATGTTCTCCAAGGCGGCACCTGCATCAGTCTGGGCCCACACGCTCAGACCGATGGTATTCTTGTCCCGGTTGTTGATGATGCCGGGGGGAACCGGGAACGTGGTCTGCGGTCCCAGATACGGAACGTACTTGCCGTACTGGTAGCCGTTGATGAACAGCTGGATGCGGACGGGGTTGACGGTGGATGGGGAGGTGAAGCGGATGCCAAGGGGGACGTCGTAGCTCTTAGGCAGGTCGAGGGTGAAGGTGGTCAGGTAGAATGCGACGCCTGATTCAGAGGTTAGTTTCCTTCTCCGATCTTTCACCGTACACTGAACAGAGGTAGAACTTACCGGATTTGTTCAGTCCATCGAGAGGGGATCCTGAAGTCCAGCCATCCGATGACTTGGTATTGTAGCCCGGAAGATGCCAGCCCTGGCGTTCGGCCAGCAGTCCGCCTTCGTTCATTGGGGCACGAACGGGATCCAGCTCATAAGCTCCTAGCATCTTGTTAGATTCGGTATAGACTTGTCAAAAGGATGCAACAAAGTTCTTACCGGCAGCTCCTCCAGCATTGCCCTGGATCTTCCAGCTGGTGAAGCTTCCGCCAGTCAGTGTCGCAGCGAGCAGGCCGCGCGGGTTTTCCACGCCCTTGGCAGTGGAGGTTTCATCGTGGCCGGTGTAGTCGATCTACGGTAAGATGATCAGCATAAAGATCTCCAACAATGAGAAGCCGGCATTTGACATACCACAACAGTGAGAAGGTTGTCCGTGTCCTTGAGCGTCTGGTTGCTGAAGTCCAGAGTCGCAGTGGATGAGGTCGCGGATGCATCACCGGGCAGGGTAGCAACCAAGTTGCCATTCAGCCAGACATTCCAACCGAAGCCCACACCTCCCTGTGCGGTGAGACTGGCGCCAGTAACATTTGCGCCATCAAAGCGTCCGCGGTAGATCTTGATACCAGTGTAGTAGCCATAGTCAGACGCGTAGAGTACCGGCAGAGTAGAGGGCTGTACGGGGCTCAGCGTGGTAGTCTTGTTGCACACAGTCCAGTTCGAGTCATCATAGTCGGATTCAAGCTCAGGCAGCGAGTCTTTGACCTTCCAGCCACTGAGAGCAGGCAGTGAGATCGTGCTGGACGCCCCGTCAATGGACCCGACCAGACTGCCATAGGCGGTTTTGGTCACGGCGATGCGCTTGCCATTCCATTTCACAGTGTTCACCGATGCGCCAGCAAAGACCTCAATGGTAGTAGTGTTGTCATTGTCTCCAATGAGATTAACAACACTTCCATCGACGGAGGCGTTGCGGACCAGGTAGGGCCCAATGACAAAGATGTGCTGGTCAGCAGTCACGTAAGGATCATTCGTGGTCGGTGGTGCCCAGAATCGGAATGCTGTATCGGTGTCCAGAAGGTAGAAGATCGTCTTGTTTGAAAATTGAACAACACTGGTACCACTGGCCTGGGTGTAGGTGTACGAGGGCGTGGTGGAATTTCCGGAGCTCTGAGTCAGGTTGACGGATGGCCCGTACTCTGTGAAGTTGAGGCGTCCGGAGTTCTTGAACGCAAAGGACGCAGTTTGACCGACTCGGGAGTATAGCACAACCACATCGGTGTCACCAAAGGTTCCGTAAGTGGCGATATCTGTTGATACGTACAAGATGGTACTATGACCCAGCGGGTAGTCGGTGGAGATGATCTTGCTTTGTCGTCCATCGAGGTTGATGTCGGTCAATGTGACATTGCCTGCGGAGGTTGTCACGTCCAGGTCAAAGGTCAGGGAACTGCGTGAAGAGGTTGTCGCTTGCTGCACAACGTAGAACCCGGCATCGGATTGCGAGTCCCGGAGCACCCAGGTATACGCAGATGTGCTGGATGTGTAGCCTGTTCCGTTGCCCTCCATGTCTGCGGTAAGCAGTCCAGTCGACACTCTGGTGTATAGGCCAATAAGCTTAGTTTGGCTCATCTTGTCCCGGACCACTCTGCTCTCACTCAACGGAGCGCTGTAGTCATCTATATCTGGTCAGGGCCGCTTCCCCATTTGACAGGTACGAATTAACTCACATGATGTGTAGACAACGGGGGCTGCTAGATGACCCCAATTCGTACCACCATAGGTCATGTAGATGCTTTGAAGCGTTATCTTCTGACCGATGTTGTTCTTGTAGTACACATCCGCAAACTGCGGGCTAAGCTCGCTCGTGCAGGTGTCATAAAAGGAGGATGCTCCCCATGCAGAGAACCACCCTCCTTCAAACTCGGGTATGTAACTGGGCTGGGTGTAACTGTAGTTCTGGAACCATTGGTAGTAGGTGCGGACGACATTGAATCCGGTGGCTTCGTTGGTGCAGCTGAGACCACCAGGATAGGAGTCCAGGCCGTAGACGTTCACTGCACCGCCAACGTCTTCGTAATCTGTGGACCAGCTCTCGGAGCGCATTCCCTTTTCGTTGTGGGTGAAGGGGACATCGACACCAGCGGCCCGAAAGGCATCCTCCAACTTAATCATGTACTGGACTAAAGTGTTACTGGCGCTGTGGGTCGTTTCCTGCAGCTCGTTTTCAATCTGATTGAGAATGACCGGTCCGCCATTGGTGATGGAGTTGGCTGCAATGATCTTGCCAATCTCTTCCACCCATGGCTGCCAGGCCGCGGTGTACGTGGCGTCGCCCGTGCGCAATGAGCCTCCGCTGCCATCGCTCAAGTGGAGAGCTAGACCGCCTCCATTGATCTCAGCATTGTCATAGGGCCCTGGTCTGCATCGTGTGTTAGCTCAATACCAGTGACCTCAAGCCAGCAAGACTTACCGGGCAATGAGATAAATTCCAGCCTCCTGAGCATAATCGAACAGACGCTGCAGATTGTGAGCGCCAGTCTCGAAATCGAAGGTTCCATTGACGGGCGAGTGGAAGTTCCAGAAAAGATAGACACTACATCGTCATCAGTCTCGATATCGAATGGTCAACAAGATCGAATCAAGTGTTCGATTGTAGAGGCATTTGTGTCCACACACCTGGCTGCGTTGAACCCATTGGCACGCATCTTCTGAAAGATGTCAAGCCATAGCTCGGGCACAGGAAGTCTCGGATAGGCGAATTCGCCCGAGAAAACGAAGAGTCGGTTGCCATTGACGGACAAACTATACGGATCCCAGGACACCAGATCTGTTAGACCGTCGGTGGTGGCCCGAGTCCCTGTGAGCAGACTCGCCCCAAGCAGCAAGGACGACCAAAGCTTCATGGTGAGTATAAGCCAAAGCTATCAGATACTGAGGAAATCTTCGTTCTGCAACCGTGCACTCGGCTTTAAGTATCTATAACCATCGTCACTTCCCTTGAGCTCCGGTGTCATCGTGGATTCTGGCGGTATTGCCGAGAGCAAGGGCAATTTCCTCCGTTTGGTGGGCTCATCCTGGTCTTCAGGCTATAGACTTCATGCAGGCTCTAGCGCTGGAATCTGGGATAAGCGATTGGTGCAGACTTGGAACAATCAAAATTAGATTAAGCAACGAGCGGGGAAATGAGGGGTTCACGGAGAAATACACACCGAAAACCTATGCAGGGGGTACGTGGGCTGATATTACGTGCATTAGTCAGGGGGACTCAGGGGTAAATCACACAAACCTACTGGGGTAATGCCGAGGAAAAATGACGGGAATTGATACTGATGGCTGAGGGGAGGGGGAGGAAGAGTGAAATACAGACAGTGGTCATAACAACATACGAACGGGGGGTGAGGTGCTGGATGCCTAAGGCCGGAAGGCAATCGAGTCCGAGCTCCGGCGGAGGGTCACATGACACCTTGATTTCATCTCCGCAGTCTCCGCATTTCCCGCCACTCTCCCTACAACAACTTACACAAATGTCGATGAATTTCACACAACTTTGGACAGAGGAGAGTAATTCCCTTCTTACTTCATATATCCGAAAATATCCGAAGAAATACCCGCATCTTGTTTTCAATGACCAAAGCTTGCTTCAAATATCCGAAGGTAGTTCTAAATATCCGGTGGCCTAGACTCACTCTAGGCAGCTCGTTGGGAAGATAGATGGGCATCGAGTCCTCCCACTTACTATCCGTCAGCAGCCTCCTCTACTTCAGCAGTCTCACGGGCCTCCCAGGTTCCTTCCCGCGTGGTCTCATAGAAGAAAGTCCGCTTGCCATCTGGTGAACACTTGGGTGTGCCGAGAAAATACCCAACTTTGGAAGCAACCTTTTCGGGAGTCGGTGCCATTGGGTCGGATGGCATAGATCGAAAGCTCTTGACTATGCTCCCAGCCCACGCCAAAGTCATGTCCCAGGCAGTCTGTACCGCGGTCTGAAGAGAACGGAATTCATTCGCCGTCTGCAGACCACTGCGGGCGGGCGAAAATATCCGTTCATCTTCGTCGGGTCGCAGGCCGTCACCGTTGTGTTGGTCAAATTCCAACTGCTGCCGGTCTTTAGATCCATCACCCAGATAATGGTCTTGTAGCCGTTCGCAGTCGAACCAAATGCTGCTATGCTTCCGTCTGGGGATAAAGCCATTGCATCTTCCATTGCAGGTGTGACCACGAGCTTCTCCATGCCCGACCCGTCCACGCGGCAACGGTACAGGTTGGCGTTGCCGTCACGCTCACTGGTGAAGGTGATTCATTGGCCATCTGGCGAGAAGGAGGCATCATACTCAATGACGGACTGGTTCAGTAATCTGCGCTACGTAGCAAATGTGCCTCCGCTATAGCTAGCACTTGCCCAAGGTGCTTTCTGTATCAAGGTGCATTGCGCCTGATGACGACAATTACGAAATTGTCTTTGAGACTGTAGACTGTGCATGTCATTTGCCTGGCACTTGTGTATACTACAGTGCGTAATTGATAGTTACTTCCCACTGTAAGTGTTTTGATAACAGTCACGTGGAGATAAGACAACTCTACTATGTTTATTGTTTAGCCTCGGCAGCCACTTTCAATGCCCTCGAACACTTCAATTCTTCAACATCTCCCTACTCTCTGCCTGATATCATATTAATGGTTCCTCGGTCCCATACTCCGGCTTATGCAGCTTCGAGTTAGATGGGAGCTCAATATCGTCGCTGCGTACCTCAAGGTAAAGATGTCTATTTTCAGTTCGCCCTCGCCACCCCACAGCGGCACAACGGCATTATGTCAGGCAAGATACAGTGTTAACTACCAGCTTGAAAGCCTCATGCGATTCAATCACCGCTATCCGAGAGCTAAGACAACACCCTGAGAGGGTGTCTTCAGCAGTTTACCAAAATGCTTACCAAGAAGGCTTGTAATTTGAAAGTTAGCCCCGACGGACAGCCGACTAAGCTTTGCCCCGCCTCCGATCGCATCCCACGACAGGCAAAGATGGCCCCTTTCATTTCCAACCGGGCCTTGGATCAGGGACCACTCTCCCAAAAGGGCAGCTCCCATTCGATTTCTAAACAAGCTGAATCCTTCTGGGCAGGCTGTGCAACGCCTGGGCCATGATGACTGGAGCTTCTGTCGGCCCCCAATGCTACCAACCAACACTTGGGGCATAGCAGGATTGCCCATGAAACACCTAATGCCAAGAAGCGAGTCAGTAGTGGAGACAATCCCCCCACCACCCCTAGCATTCCAGCTGCTTATTTATCTTCAGGGTCTCATCACTCAGTCTGCACGATCTGAAGCCATACAAACCAGAAAACACACACCAGAATGCTTGTCAACCTAGGTGCTTTGGCTGGCTTGATTGCCGTCGGCCACGCCGCGGCCAGCGGGAAACGCGCCACCGAGGCTGCAGCATACAGCTCCAACTCGGCGGGCAACTACAAACTCAGCTCCATCGCTGCCCCCGTGCAGGGCAACGGCAGTCCCGGCTCTGCGTCTACCTGGAAGCTCACCGTCGACGACACGGCGTCCGGCCACCGGCAGACCCTTAATGGCTTCGGGGCGGCCGTCACCGACGCGACCGTGACATCCTTCAACACCCTGAACCAAGCCACGCTCCAACAGCTGCTGGACGAGCTGATGACCACCGACGGCGCGAACTTCTCTCTGATGCGACACACCATCGGCGCCTCCGACCTCTCCGGCGACCCAGCCTACACCTACGACGACAACAACAACGCCGCCGACCCGTCGCTGACCGGCTTCAACCTGGGTGATCGGGGCACCGCCATGGCCAAGCTCCTCGCCACAATGAAGACCCTGCAGTCCAGCCTCACGATCCTGGGCTCCTCCTGGAGCCCGCCGGGATGGATGAAACTCAATGGCGCCATCGACGGCAGCACGACCAACAATAACCTGAACGACGGGTACCTGACCAGCGGCGGCACAGGCAGCACGGGCTACGCCGCCGCCTTTGCCCAGTACTTCGTGAAATACATCCAAGCGTACACCAACCTGGGAGCCCCGATCGACGCGATCACCATCCAGAACGAGCCCCTGAACAGCCAAGCAGGCTACCCGACCATGTACGTGTATGCATACGAGTCCGCAGACCTCATCGAGAAATACGTCGGCCCCGCCCTGGCGCAAGCGGGCCTCGACACCAAGGTCTGGGCCTACGACCACAATACCGGTACTTGCCCCTTGAGACTACCTTTCTCATCTCCCATTCCCACCACCGCCCACTAACAAGCATGGAGACGTCCCAAGCTACCCGCAAACCATTCTCTCCAGCGGCGCGAGCACCTACGTCCCCGCCGTCGCGTGGCACTGCTACGCCAGCAACGTCGACTGGACCGTCCTCTCGAGCTTCCACAGCACCAACCCAAACACCGAACAGTACATGACGGAATGCTGGACGCCCGCGTCCGGGGCGTGGCACCAAGCCGCGGATTTCACGATGGGCCCGCTGCAGAACTACGCCGCGGGCGTCATGGCCTGGACGCTGGGCACCGACGCCGACGACGGGCCGCACCTCTCCTCGGGCGGGTGCGCCACCTGCCACGGGCTCGTCACGGTGAACAGCGCCACGAGCTACACGCTAAACACGGCGTATTACATGATGGCGCAGTTCAGCAAGTTCATGCCCCCCGGGGCGGTCGTGGTGAGCGGGACGGGCAGTTACACGTATGACAACGGGGGCGGGGTGCAGTCGGTGGCCTCGGTGAACCCGGATGGCTCGCGCACGGTGGTGATCCAGAATACCTTTGGGAATGATGTGTATGTGACGGTGACGTTGGGGTCGGGCGGGCTGTGGAGTGGGAATGTGCCGCAGGAGTCGGTGACGACCTGGGTTTTGCCTGGTTAAGAACCTTACCTCTGGGCAGGGGATATCTGGATAGCATTCCTCGCAAGGGGCGCAATTAAATGACGATATATGCAATCATTCGCGAATCTCGAATTTCGGGCAACTTGGCATACTACTCTTACGCTTCTCAACCTCATCAATCATCCTCTTGGCGCTAGAAAATACAACCACTCCCTGACACCCCCCCCCCTCGGCCCCTTCGTGATTCTTCGGATTTAGTACTCAGGGGGAAGGGGGAAATACCCTTTGTAATAACTCCTGTGAAACAGCTGGCAGGGTCACGCCGCCGACGATCCTCCGGTGGTCAATGTAGATTGAGTGCGCGTGGTTGCTTCGGCGGGACAGGAATCCACGAGTTTCAGATATCTGCCATCACCGTCGCTGACGTAAATTCTGGCGTAGGGGAGTTTGTTCGTGATGCTGGCGGAGAGGCAAAGGGAAGAAGGGGGGCAGTCCAAATTTGGTCTTCGATATTGATGATTTTCTTTTGGTACGACAGGGCCGACCTATTCAGGAAAAGCCTAAGCGCTTGACTCCTGCTGCTTTTGGCGGCTTTGATGAGTGGGATTTGGAGTTTGATGTGCTGCCAGGTGAGACGAAAGATCAAGATGTCGAGAACAGTGAGTTGAGCGACGAGTTTGAGTGGGTGTCGCTATGTTGTGGCTGATGATGCGGACGCTGGGGGCTTAAAGGGCTGGTGGGCTTACAGGGCTGATGGTCAAGGATGAGTACGTGAGGTATGTGGGCAGAGGAGTATGGCAGTTAAGAATGTCCTCATTAAGAAGAAGGAATGGATGAGACACTTATCACTTGCGGCATGCGAGGAAACATTCACTCTCCAATATGGGCTCAGGTCTTATATGTGAATACAAGTCTAATGTCCCCTGGATTGAGAGCCCTTCACAGGTTTTTCTTCGAGCATGCACTATAAGTGTATATCTGATCGTGTGTAAAGTAGCTTCAAGTAACCTCACTTGGGCGGTTCAGAACTTCTCTCTCCTCCTCCCATTACTAACTTTCTCAATCTACATTGGATACTGGATCCCCTGCCTCACAGCCTCAGAGGTACATGTATCGATTGAATCCATCTTCGCTTTCCAGAAAACCATTCTCTTGAAGAGAACTTTTTCAAGCCCTCAGTGGCCCGCCGACTCAAGCAGTCTTCCACCGCTCGCTGCAGGCCCTCCTCCAGCCCCACCACCGGCCGATACCCAAGCCGCGTCTTCGCTTTGTCGATGCAAAAGTACCGCGTCATACAGCTGAGCCGCACTTTGGTCCGGGTCAACGGGGGTGGGCCCAGGCCCAGTGCCCAGAAGACCCACTCCAGGAAGCCGGCCAGGCGTAGTGCCCACGGCCGTGGGATCACCCATACCTGCTCGCGCCGCGTCGTATCCCCCGCGAACCTCCACACCAGCCGCGTGAAGTCCCAGAAGCATCGCGGCTCATCGTTGGTTATGAAAAAGGCCTCCCCATCTACCTTTGTCGTGTCATCACCGTCATCATCGTTATGATCCTCATCCGGCGAGTCGGGACTTTTCGAGAGTTGGGCCCGCAGCGCCGCGGCAGCCAGGTAATGCGCGTGCGCGACATTCGTATTCTCGGTAAAGTCGAAGCGGTTCTGATTGTCGCCGATCTGCCACTGGGTCTGACCGCGGAAATACGCGTCCAGGATGCCCGGGAGCACGACGAGGTCGCCGACACCGGAGATGCCCGAGGGCCGGATAGCGCAGGTCAAGAAGGGGTTGGGGGCTCGGCGCTGGTTCTGGGACAGTACATAGGACTCTGCGAGGGCCTTGGTGTAGACGTAGAACTCTGGCTGTTGCCCCTCCTCGAGGAGGACGGGGAAGGTCTCGTCGGCGTTCATCAGATCCGTCTGGGCGTCACTGATGACGCTGGCTGAGCTGGTGTATACGAAGCATTGAGTGCCCGCTTCTCGCGCAATCTGGAGGAGGGTTCGGGTGGCCTCCACGTTGACTTTGTGCATGATGGGGTTTGGAGAATCGAATTTCGGGCTGGCGGTATGGATGACGGTCTCGGGTTGCACATCTTGGAAGAGCTGGCGTATCGCGTCGGCGTCAGTCAAGTCCCCGGTATGATAGCTCACTCCGGGGAGATGGTGACATGGTTCTCGAAGGTCAAGGGAGTGTAGATGGTCGCAACCACGCTCCGCGAAGAGCTGGAGGATCCGGCTGGCGAGGCCCCCGGATCCACCGGTAACAAGGACCGTGCTTCGGCTCAAGTGGGTGTGTCCCTCGGCCCTGGCCATTGTGGGTGGTCGGAAGGATGAATGACTTTCAGACTTTATATGTATATGACTATGTCCTATGGCGGAGACGAATGGGTGTTGTTGGAAGGGGGGAGATGGTGCAATACAAAACAAAGGGGCAAATTGTGAGTGTAAGCGGCTCATCACTTTGCCGACATTTAGCGGAATTCGGACCAGACAAAAGTACTGCATATTAACTTACTGTGCAGTACAATAGTATACTTACTCATGTACCAGTTTGCTAGTGCCGTAGCTCCGCGCCCCAAAAGAAAGAGAGAAAGAAAAATCAACTCAATCAAACTGGATCCACATAGTATGCGGAAAGATGTCACCTCTTGCTAAAAACGCCTTCCGGCTCCCTCCCGGCACGGGCCTTGCCGCTATCTACAACGAGTTGTTTCTTTTAAGATCTTACAGCCCATTCATCTTTTCTATCTCCTACCAATGGAAGGGGGGAATAGTGTCTTCCTCCCCCAAGTCTTCTCGCCGAGACTTGCTGTTCGCGTCAGAGTAAGGCAGTCCACGGGTATTCCTTGCGGTTCTAATATACGTTGTCCTTCAGATTGTCCGGCGTACCACGGAAGTTTGGTCTATGCAGTGGAGAAAGTGGAGACACTGTCTCCTCTCTTGGAGACTCGAGACCATGAGGCCTCGTCTTATATGAGAGTCCTAATACCAGAACTGGGAGGGAGACCATCTGAGTCGAGCTTTCTCGGAAGATAGAATTTAAGCAGAGTATTAGATGCTTCCATAGAAGACATGATGTGATTTGGAAATCTGTCAAAGAGCTTGATAAGATGTCATTCCGTAAAGATCCATGGAGAAGGCGTGGCTGAATGTTGGAGGTGTGTGAACTATGGTGGAAAGCAAAAGAGCCCACCCGTGTAAACAGAACTGTTGAGGCGGTATCAAGAGGTATTCGTTTTGTGAACATGATCTTTCCTTAACTGACTTTGATATCTAAAGCTATTAGAGCGTGATGAGCACTCCAAATTCGTCTCCAACATCCACCGGGAACTCCCGCACCCACAAATCGCAGACCAAACCACATCAGTCAACATCAGAACCCCAGAACATAACCCGAAGCACTTGAGATAAATACACCAAGCCCCAAAGCCATGCACGATTCACCCCCCAAACCCCGCCAAATTCCCACAAAACCGCTCCACCAACCGCTCCGCATCCTCCCTTCGAACCCACCGACTCGACACCGAAAACATCACCGAAAGCACATCCCGCTCGGGCCACGTCGTCAAAAAGATGGTCTGATCCGGCGGATTCGAGAGGATGGGCGACAGCATCTTCCACCTCCGCCCGCCACCCAGATCCACCTCGGGCTTGGCGTCGAAGTTCTCGTGCAGCACGATCGAGCTCACTGTACTCGTTCCACCATTCCTCGCCCAATCAGTGCACTGGGTGACGATCTCTTGCCATTGGCAGGTGCTATATTCCAGGGAGTGGGCGTGTTGGGCTTGCACGGTGGTAAGCAGGGCATGCGCCCCCTTCTTTGAGGTGTCGGGAGTAGCCGGGGAAGGAGGGAAGCCGACGCGGACGGGGATGATGTTCAGGCAGGGCCCGATCAGGGTGTCGAGGTCGGGGAGGTCGATGTCCCGGGCGTTGACGAGCTGGGCAAAGACGATATCTTGGGAGTGGGTCTCTTGGTGTAGCGCGGCGGCCCAGGCGGCTTTGATGAGGGTGGCTGTTGTGATTCCCTGCGGTAGCGGGGAGGGTAGCGGGACTGTGCGCGTGAGGTGTAGGGTTTTGTCTTCTGCTGGGTGCGGCCGTGATGGGTCCGGGGAGGGTTGGGGAAGGTGGAGGCTTGTGAGGATTGATCCCTCGAGGAGAGTGCGCCAGAAGGTTAGGGCTTGTGGGGTGCGGAGTTGCCGGCATCGGCGGGTGTAGTCTGCGTAGTCGGTGCGGAGTGGCTGCGCCGTAGCGGTGTAGAGGTTCGCCAGGTGGTGGAGTAAAGGGCGAAGGGAGAGGCCGTCGTACTGCGCGTGGCTGAGGCGCATGATTAGAATAGGGGGCTCTGCTTTGTGGCTGTCTTGGGCTTGGATGAGGGTGAATTTGACGATGGGCTGAGTGGTCTGGTACCGGATTTGGCGGTCTTGCATTGCGAGCGAGCGGGCGATCATATCCAGGCTTTGGCTCCCACTAGTGGAATGCACGACCTCGAAGGGGAGATTGATGTCGCGCAGCACGATCTGCATGCATTGGTCCTGGTATGGGAGGAAGATGGTTCGGAGAATCGGATGCTTTCGGATAAGGGCTTCACATGCCTGACGCAGTTGACTTGTATCGAACGGGCCGGTGAGCTGCCAGAGAAGATAGTCTTGGATCTCTTCTTGGGAATACAGACCCTGGATTTCTCTGGCAGGTAGGACGTCTTCGACGAGGTCCGGGTTTAGGCCCTCGGGCAGGTTGCGGAGGAATTCTTCCTTAATTGACTCGAACGGGTCTTGGGCAGCTGTTGGAGGGCTTGGGTCCATGTCGTCTGAGCTTGGCTGCTGCACGCGCAGTGCCAGGTGGCTCAGAGTAGGCTCGCTAAGACAATCTACAAGGGACAGGCCCCAGCCTTCGGCACGCACCATGGCCACCAGCCGCCGGGCAGAGAGAGAGTCACCCCCCAGATCTATAAAGTTATCGTCCATGCCCACGGAGGACAGGTGGAGGCCCAGCAGCTCCGCACAAACGGCCTGCAACACGCGCTCGGGTTCCGTAGCAGGCGACCGATAGGACTTCGGAGCGGTGGTATAGCTGGCCAGTTGCTTTCGAGATAATCCCGACGCGGCCTCACACAGAGCAGCGCGACTCAGTTTTCCGGATACGGTACGAGGAAAGGTTGTGACAGCCACAAAGGCCGAGGGAACCATATACCCTGGAAGGACCTTGCGCAACTCTGTCAAGGTACGTTGTACCTGGAGACGAAACTCCGGTGTCGGTGCCCCGAAGACGGCGGTGGCATTCCGTTGGATCTTCTCCTTTGCGCTCGTCAGGACAAAGGCCACTAGGATCAGATGCTGCTCAGCACTCTCATCAACGGGATGCACGAGATCGACGACCAGATTCCCGGAGCCCGGAAAGTGTGTGCGTAGATGGAACTCGACTTCTCCCAGCTCGATTCGCTGTCCACGAATCTTCACTCGATTGCCCTTGCGGCCGCGGAACTCCAGTGATCCAGTACTGGAGTTGTAGCGGACCAGATCGCCTGTTTTGAGCAGCTGCAGGCCCGTTCCGATCTCTTGCGGTCGCATCCAGCTTGGATCCCCGATCAATGCTGCGCTCGTCTGGTCGGGGTTGTTTACATAGCCTCGAAACATTGAGGGACCCGAAACAACCAGCTCCCCCTCTGCCCCAATGGGCATCAATTGATCATGATCTTGGGGATCCACCACCCAAGCATGGCAACCCACAGCCGGTCCAAGGGTACTAGGTCCGTCCTCCCCTTCAGCATCAGACTTTCTAGCCAAGGTAATGGCGGTACAAAACTCCGACTGCGCGTACAGGTTGTAGACAGCGGCATGGCCGGCCCATTGGCGCAGGTCACCCCGTCCCATCGGTTCGCCTGCCAGCAAAACCGATTTTACAGATGGGGTTGCGGCAGGGTCAATGGTCCTGGCCACGGAGGGCGTCATCATTGTCCAGGTGACGCGGTATCTTTGCATCGCGGCCGCGACGGATTCCTGTAGCTCCGAGTCGGAGGGAATGCAGACGCAGCCGCCCACTGAAAGGGTCAGGAGATTCTCGAGGATGCTGACGACGAATCCGTACGATGCGCCGTGCAGCACCCGGGAATCACTTGTCAGATCCGATAACTCACAATACCGGGTGTAGTTGCAGGTGAAGGCTGCGTGTTCGATCAGGACACCCTTGGGCTCTCCGGTGGAGCCGGATGTAAAAGTTGCGTAGGCGACATGATGGCCTTGCATGGTGGGTGGGTGGAATTCTTCTTCCTCGTTGTCTGTCACAAGGTAGCTGTCTATCTCCGCGAATGTCACCACAGGAGGTCCCAAATGCCTGGCCTTAGAAGCATGCTTATCAACAGACAGGATCAAGTGGGCATCTGCTTTGCTGCAGATAGTGACAAGTCGATGCGTGGGCTGAGACGGGTCCAGGAACGCGATGCCCGCCCCGGCCTTGAGGGCCCCGAGCACCGCAATCGTCGTCCACATGGACCGGTCCGTCAGGATGAAGACGAGCCGGTCTGGTCTCACGGCGTGGTGCACCACTAGCTGGCGTGCCAGACGAGAGGCTCGCTGGTTCAGCTCTTCATATGTCAATTCGCCGTCCCACGCGCACACGGCGGGGGCCGACGGCCGCTGCCGGCACCGGCGCTCGACGAGATGATGAATGCATGTAGTTCCTTTCTCCGGGAGGGAGATACGATCGTTCCAATCCCGGATCTTCTGCATATCGCTGAGATTAATCGCCCGAAGCTCTCGGACCTGCGAGGCGCTACCATCCCGCGCGCAGTCGAAGGCAGAGGCCAATTGATCCAGCATCGAGTCCACCACGAACTCTTCCAAAACATGACGATCAAACTGCGCGTGGTTCGACATCCTGTCAGACTCCACGGTGCAGATGATCGTCAAGGCGTAGGGATGGCCATTTGGGTCGAGGAAGCTCGTAACACGACTGCCAACTGCTCCCCGCCGGATAACGAGCAGGTTGTTGAAAGTGCCAATCTTCGCGGCGTCGGGGCTCATGGTGCGCAGCTCGGTCAGACCGATCTGCTCTAATGAGGGGACTAGATCCTGGAATTGAGCGATCTTCGCCGTTGCGGCGGCGAGGGTGTCCTCCGGCTCCAGTAGCAGGCGACAGGGAACGAGCGCCTCCGACCCTTTGCCAGTCCCGTGGCTGTCATCGATCAACCCGAAGAGCACGTCGCTTGCATTAGTGTACAACGACAGCACCGTGGCCCAGCTCAGGCAGAGCAGGGCTAAGATATTATCATGGGAATCGCCCGTCGAGGTTCCCAGCGACCTAACTCTTCGAGCATGGCTGTCCGGTGACGCCCGATACGAATCCGAGGGCACGGGAGGAAACCTCACCCCCTCGAATTCCGTGAATATTTCTCGAAGGCCATGGCTTTTTGCTGGACCGACTGGATCTGGATTTGATAACATCTTGCGGGTATTGAATCCACAACAGCGCCACCAGCTTACTGAGATTTTAAGAGTAAAGAACTTTGCCACGGTTTCGTCTCCGGGAGAGAGGCAGTACCCGGCTTAGGGCAATGGAAAGTGCACCCATCCCTCCCTGCCTTGCTCACCGACTCGCAAGTTCAGAACCACCTTACATGATAAGAGCGGATCCTGGCTCATGAAGCATCGTCGCTGAAGAAGCCAAACCAAGGTTCGGACGAGTAAAACACAGTCACCGGGCCCGGGATCTGGCCGTCGTGAGCTACTGCAGAGGGAACCGGAAAGGTATCTTCAGCTGCTGCGAGATCTGCCTCGCCCCTTGCTTACTGTGCAGGTAATTTGCCTTGGTCTTGGATTAAAATGTTCATGGCTGAGGAATCTTCATACAGAATTACAATCAATTGCTTGAGCATGGCTAGAAACACTGTTGGATGATTCTTCCGCAACATACGGTTGGTCCTTTGCCCGACGAGAGGGGAAGTGAGAATCGTGGAAGAGAGGATCGTGGAAAAGAGGATCGTGGAGCAAGCAACCGCAGTAATTAGCTGGAGATACGCTATTGGAAAATGATCTACCGGTCCTATGAAAACCGATCTCTCTCCCCATGGATGAATATCAACATTGAAAAACCAGTTCCAAAGCCCTAGCAGAATCCTTCATTCTCACCCTCTTAGCCTGGGTTCTCTTTCGTCACGAGTGCAGAACCCAAGATTACACCCTGAAGCTAATGCAGGATGATCCCAACAAACACCTCACCTAACCAAGACTCAGAACTTCCACCCCCCTTGCCGGAACATGAACCTGTTGGGATCATACGCCTTGGCGATCCGCTCCAACCGCGCCTGGTTCTCCGCCCCGTAGCTGGCATACACATCCTGATAATCTGCCGCATCGTTCATGAACAACGGATTGACCCTGCATCATTCAATCGATCGCATTAGTCCCCTTCCCAATACCCACAGACTCCACCGGAAAAGGAAAACTCACGAAATGAAATCCACATCCCCGGACTGGTAATTCGTGGGCTTTGCCCCACGCAGCGTCTCATCGAACACGACATTCACGCGATCCGCAACCTCCCTCAAATACCCGGGACACGCCTCGTTGCAGTGATCATTCACCCAGATCAGATCATTCTCGACCCAGAACCTATCGCCGTGGCGGGGGTCCAAGCCGAGGGCATTGCCGCCGCGCGCCTGCGAGGCGTTGGCGATCCGCACCGAGAGCGGCTGCGGCGTGAACGTGCCGATCTGAATATCGAGATCCCGGGAGGAGTCATTCCGGATCATGGACTGGTACGTCGACCAGTGCGCCTCCAGCAGGGAGGACAGATTCTTCGGGTCGAGGTTGGGGAAGGTGTTCACGCGCGCCGCGGCCTTGATCCCGTAGATCTTGGCCCCGCCGGCCTCGTTAGTCAGCTCGGTGTAAGTGGTTGGTTTGGTGCCGTCGATCAGCGCCTCGATCTTGTCCAGTCCCGCGAATGCGCCGGCGCTGGGTGTGCGGCCGTCGTAGAAGAAGAACAGCATCGGGTTGGAGATGAGGGCGCCCGGCAGCCCGAAGTCGAAGGTCGGGATCACCGCCGCTTTGGCGTCCGGGTAGTCGCGGATGAATTCCGCTAGGGCTTCAAAGATGGCGGTGCGTTTATCGGCTGTGTATACCTTAACCCCGCCCCAGATCTTGCCGTCGTCCCCGAGCGGGTGCGCTTGGAAGGTGAATTTGGTGACGATCCCGAAGCGGTTCCCGCCTCCGCGCAGGGCCCACCAGAGGTCTGGGTGGGAGGTGCGGTTTGCGTTGACGATGGTCGCGTTCGGGAGGACCACTTCGTAGTTGACGACGTTGTCGCAGGTTAGGCCCTAGTATTGGGTTAGTCTTAGGGTTGGTTGGGCGTTCTGGGTGGGAAGTAGATAGTGCAACGGGGTTCTAGGGCTAGGGGCAGTACGTATTGGGCGGAGTAGTAGGACAATCCACCCCCGAGAGTGAAACCCGCTACTCCGATGTTAGCCAGTCGTCCGCCGACCAGCACTTGGTTGGTCTTTTCGGCCACGGCGTAGACATCGCCCCAGCGTGCGCCGGGCCCGACGTCGAAGGTCTGTCCGTCGGGGTTGCGGGTGGTCGAGGAGAGGTTCTCGTGGAAGGAGATCAGCACGCCACCTTTGGTGCTGGAGAACCCGACGTTGAAGTTGTGGCCGCCGGATTTCAGGGCAAAGGGGGCGTCCGGATGCTGGTTCAGTTGCTGCACCGCGGCAGCCACTTGCTGCGCGTTGGCGGGGAAGAAGGTGCAGGCGGGTCGGTTCTCCGCGTTGACTCCGTTCCAGTACTCGGTCACCGCGTTCGTATAGTAGGATTGATTCCAGAAGGTCTGAAGAGCATCGGGGCCGGTGGGATCCCAGACGGTGTATTGGGGGTAGGTGGTATGCAAGTACTCGCACACGGCTACTGCGTCGCTGTTGGCAGTGCTTGTGGCTAGGGCCGGGAGGGCTGCGGCCAGTAGTAGGGCTACCGAGCGCATTGTGAAGGTATGGATCTGTGAGATCTTGCTCCTGACACCATTCCTGGGGCTGAGGGTGTTGTGCTAAATTTCAATGAATCCGACCGTCCTGAAATTGGGGTGGCCACGGCCCTGCTCCGTATTTATTTCGTATTCCACCAGGGGACGGATCAAACGGAATATTCACTCCCAGACCCTGCTTGGTTGGCTTCTGACTGGCCAGACCCTTGATAAGGCTAGAAATATAGTCAGGGACCAACGTCCTTCGGTTGATGTGGATCTGCAGCCATGTTCACAAGCAGGGCTTGGCTGCTGGTTTGCCGAGGTGGGAGCGTTTCGGACGGCGGATTTTTGAGGCCTGCCCCTGTAGATCCCCTCTCGCTTAGAATCCTCGTCAATCGGAGTCTGCCCGACAGTTGGTTGATGATTCCTCCGTCTTTCTATTTTCCTGTTTAATCCTTGTCGCGTTACCGCTTGTGCATGCATCTTGCGAATGGTGCATGATATATACTGTTAGCGAGGGAGGGGCTCGTGGGAGCATTAGCCGGTGCTATTGTCTTTGAAAATATAGTGCTCTTTGAAGCAACACGGAGGACAGCACCCGAAATCCATGGTGTGTCGGCTGTCAAGGCAGATAAGTATTTATTTGAATGATAATGATTCTTGGCTTGGGTGTAGTGATGTAGGGTTACGGCGAAGCCGAAAAAGGCTTAATATTCTTCGATGACAGTTTGTCATCCAAGGACGCATTCAAGTCGAGGCTTGCCTCTGTAAGACGGCCGACAAACCAAAGCAAGGTTGAATCAATCTGTCTATTTTCTAATCGCTGATGCAACGACCAAACATACTGGTCTACCACCACGAATACAACAGCTTTGTCCCCGGGCGGTCGAGAGCAAAGTCCTCCACCGTCCTGTACGTGACGGCAACCTCGCTTTCGGACCGCAGAACGAAGTCCCACGTCGAGACACGATGTTTCTCACACACCCACTGTCCATCATTGCAGGGACTTGCTTTCTCTGGATCACCACGTGCGCGGGGGCACCCTGTCTCCTCGATTTCGATCAGCTTGTCGACCGTCCCCGCCGCCACAATGCCGTCGCAGATACCCTCGCGGCGGGGATACTGTCGGAGCAGCCTCAGCGCTCGGCGTCTCACTTGCGGCTCGCGACACCGGACAGCCACCCAGAACAGAGGCTCAACTATCCCAGTCTCGAGAGTGTACGCTGCCTTGGTACGCTGCAGACGGACATTGCCCCCATCTCCCAGGATCCGCGCGACCCGGTCCACGAGCTCCACACTCTCCGCAAGATAAAGGTCGGCGGCCAATTCGCCGGGAGCGAGATCAACATGGTAGAAGAGCCCGGCCAGAGTCCGGCGCACCATCAGTAGGTCCACTGCCTTGGAGTTCCGGGCTTCTGCCGATAACGTCTCCAAAACAATGGCCAGTTGTTGGTCCCACGCCTGTAAGAGTTGCAGCTGTGCCTCGCGGTCTGGGAGGGGGATGGGGCGATAATTCGCGCCCCGTTTGTTGAACCTCCACATCAGCCGCATCACACCATTGTAAATCGCTTCGATAGATACGTATGCGTCAAAGAGAGTAAGGAATGTGGCATGGGCATATAGTGGGACCACCTGACGGTCAATCCACGTCGTGGCGTCGTCGCAGGCAAACATATAGGGAATGACCTGGGAGTCGAGGCGAGTAAAGATCAGGACCAGCATACTGGCGGCCACATAGTCTCCGCACACTGTCACTTCCTGGTAGTCGAACTCCCATTCAGAGATGATTTTCAGCCCGTTGCGAATGTGCATGTACGCCTGGTGCTGCTGGCTCTGCAAGACGCACATGGACGAGAAAATCGCACAGGTGGCCAGCACGACGATGCGATCTTCCAAACCTAGAACGGGCTTGGAGCACAGTTCCGACAGCGCCTGGATGGATTTGTTGTACTGTTTCAATGCAAATCGCCTGCTGCGAATCTCCCGTGCTCCGGGCGCCGTGAAGCGAACATCCTGGCCGACATAGTCTCGATGCAGGCAGGCCAGAGCGGTCATGCCGTGCCAGAGGGCCGGATAATGGTGGGCGAACCGCAACAACTGATCGGACCAGAATCCGGGGTCAAAGAATTCCGCTAGTGTCGAAGTGGTCACGGACTGGAAGAACGAGAAGTTGTCGAGTTCTGTGGAGTCATCGCAGATAAAGTCCCAGGCGGAGGGCATTCCCATCACTGGTAGCGTGCGGATCGGCTCGTACCCGTCGCAGCGGCGTCCAGTCGACACGCACTTCTGACAACTATTGACACGCTGGGTGTCAGACGAGATGTGCGCAATAGGATTGATGCGTCTGCGACCTGTGACTCTGTGCTTCTCACCTTGGCTTGGCCTCATCACACTTGATGCGACGGATTCTGTCAACGGTTAGCCTACGTGGCATATGCGACTCGGACTGTCCGGGACTATCCGGTTCGGTGATCCGTACTTGCAAGTTATACAGCCCGTTCTCACTCGCGGAAACCATCTTTTCTGTCTTGGTTTGCCGTTTCTGACCGTGGGTTTGGCTACTGTAGAAGGATCCATGAGCTGGCTTGCCTGATCATCAGAGTGGTCAGATTAGTAGAAGCGGAATCACGAGTCTGAGGGCGACGCGGAGAGATATCGGTCGGCATCACGTGAGTTGACCCGGAGAGTTAAAACAGTCCTTTGTTTCGCGGCGAGCTGATAGTTGGTGAGTTATAGTAGTGATAATCCTTCACTAAACCCATTAGTGTGCAGTACTAATGGTGACGGCGTCCGATTAGCGGGTGAAGCCGTCGCCGCAAGGCTGGCTACCTCCTCCATGCTTCTGATTGGGCGGTGGGTGGATGCCTGAGAATGAGAATAGGGGTGAGCAGGCATTCCAGAGAGAAATTCGAGCTGATCATGAGTTTTGAACTTCGAATTTGGAGATGGTCTTCCTTGGGAGTTGAATTCGGCAAGATACTGCAGTGCTATAGTGCTAGTGAGGACATTCGAATGGGGCCAGCAACCACTGAGTCAGATGCTAGTGGACGGCATGGATTCTTGGTGTGATTTCTCCGGTGGCTAGAGTGATCATATAGACGAAGAAGTTCATAGCAGGGTGTAGGGACTGTCAGGTTGCAAAGCAGTGCATTCTGTCGCTTATATGTGAGCTTGTTCGTGGTATTTGATCTAGTAGGAGTAGGGGTAGTGCGGTGTGAAATGGTAGGGAAAGCCAGAGCCCCCGAGGTCGGCTCCGATCGGCGGTCGGTCCCGCACCCGTAGCACCCTCTCTGATTGGCCACATCGTCAGTTCTTACGCTCGTACCGTTTGGGTATAGCCTCATCGTGCCAGAACAATGAGTATAAAAACCCTGGGTTTGAGACTGAGAAAGTGTTCAAAACAGCTCATTTCTGGCCTCAACTCATCATCACTATCACCATTATCACCATTATCACCATCATGACTATCTCTACCGACTATACCCTACCAATCGACTCTTGGGTCGTGGTCACGGGAGCCAACGGCTACATCGCCTCCCAAGTGATCAACGCTTTGCTCGCCAAAGGCTATAGAGTGCGAGGCACTGTACGCTCGGAGAAGCCATGGCTTGTTGAGGGCTTTCAAACCAAGTACGGCCCCGGCAGGTTCGAGACCGCGATCGTTCCCCGACTGGAAGATGAAGGAGCTCTGGATGTCGTGGTGCAAGATGCAGGTGGTATTGTCCACGTGGTAGGCATATCTGCCAGCTCCTACTCCTCGCGTCAGAAATAAGACTTACATAGAATCTTTCTTGAACAAGGCTTCCGACATGTCTTATCGCCCCAACCCAAACGATGTGATCCCCGGGGTAGTCGCAGCGACAATGAACGTCTTGACCGCCGCGCAAAAGGCGCCATCCATCAAACGAGTGATTCTTACTTCTTCCGTGAATGCAGCATGTCTTGCGATGGATGATGCATTTGGATTGCCAAGCAAGACTGTGGACCAGAGTGAGCATCATCTTCCATGTTGGACAGCTTGCCGCTCTTTCACTGACAATGTATAGGCACTTGGAACGATGCTGCAGTAGCGGCTGCCTGGGACTCCGACACTCCAGACCATATGAAGCCCAGCACTGTGTACACTGCCGCCAAGGTCACCGCTGAGCGCAACGCGTGGAACTGGATGAAGGAGCGCAAGCCGCATTTCACCTTGAACACGGTTCTCCCAAACATTAATGTATGTTCATCTAACCAGATCAGTTTCGGTTTCTGACGTTCTAGTTCGGCACAATCCTATTCCCTGAGCATCAAGGCACGTCGATGCGCCTCACTCGTACTTTGCTCGATGGAAGTGATTTTGTCATGAAGATGATCCCACCACGTAAGAACTCCCGGTGCCTATCTTCTCATATTAAGACTGTGCAACTAACGGGTTATCTCTAGATTGGTATGTTGATGTGGAGGATACGGCGCGTCTCCATGTCATTGCATTGCTCGACCCCGCCGTGCAATCCGAGCGCATCTTTGCGGCCGCAGCCCCGTACAACTGGGCCGAGGTGTTGACGATTCTCCGAGAGCTACGGCCTGAGAATAACCAAATCCCCGATGCCTACGATCCAGTGAAGGAGAAGTTTGACCTTGTGCCCTCCAAGCGCGCTGAGGAATTACTGCAAAGCTTCTATGGCAAGCCTAGGTGGACTTCACTGAGGGAATCTTTGGTTAACGGTATTGAGGGATACTGATGATCTGACACCTGTCTATGGGGGCATTCTGCGAAGCTGCCAAGACGTGTTGTCCCGGTCAGCTCAAGAAATTACTTGTTCTCCAACAACAAACAGGGACAGGGGCGTAGATTGAGCTGAAGTGAGTTGAGGGAATCCTTCAATTGATTGCTTGTTAGGTATCAGGCCAGCCTTTGTGTGACTCTTCTGTGCAGACAAAGACAAATGCAGGGATTTCACAACATCAAAAAACTTTTGATCCGCTGCTCATTGTGCATCCAATTTACTATTGTTACTTGCTTGATCTCCCTTTGTAAATTGAGGACAGTATCCTATTGTTACTCAGTATACCACAGGGGCTACTAAAGAATATTAGGTGGAAAGGCAGAGCCGACAAAGAAAGGCAGTATTAGATGAGATGCGTCATCTCGATCTCGGTGGTCTATTTAAACCCATGTAAGATTTCTTCTCGAGGCAATTGTCAACACCCTGCGAACGATCCTTGACAAGCCGAGAAAGACCAGTCATAATCCGACCTAGCAAGAATCACTCGTGTACCACCTACCAAAATGAAGTTCGAAACCCCAACGGTCGATCGGGAGAGCTACATCCCACTGCAGGAGAACAGGACCTCCAGAATGTTCCCGACCAAGAAAACCTGTTTGGACCAGAAGGTGACCGTGCGTGTTGCTATGTGGTGCTTTCTGGTCCTCCAGATTATCCTGTGGTTTATCCAAAAGTTGATTATGAGCTACTGGTACCGAGGCTACGACTGGTATAAAAGTTCCGAGATTGGCTGTTACTACCAGGATCGGGGACTGCTGCTTCTTGCCTCGCTATTTGCGAGCCTGGGCTTTTATCTCTGGTCGACTTACCCCTGCCGGCCCAATTTCACTGTCGGTGGGTCGATCAAGATGTTCTTTCTGGGATCGGCCTTTGTCTATCTCCTGGTGAATGTCGCCTCGTGGTTTGACGACAACTTTTGAGATCTTGCCCTTCTGGTTTGAAGCAAACGGTCTTCTAGTTCTGTACTTCAGCCGAGCCTCCTGAGGAGGAAGTTGTCGCGCTTTCCAGGTAAGCAGTGATATAAGCAGCCTTTGTAGCTCAATGCCACTATCCAATTACATAACCTATCATCTTAATTTTACTCTGCTCGTAAATCTATAAACGATATAAAATATACTAAGCAGTTCTGTCTGGCACGCAGAGATGCTAAATAGCCCTAAGTTCATAAGTCCCTCATGTTAACGCCCTACCCGACCGCACTAATAGAGTGCATTCCACCGTTCAGCTGTGCCTCACAACCCTTATATGGATATTATTGTAATACAATGAAAAAGGTACGATGACATGCCTAATTGACTTGCTTGACGAGAATGTCTCTCTAGGTTACGCAATCATATAGCGCAAACTAGGCTTGGGTTAGTGCTGAGCTGAGATTGTAGAATTTGATACTTCACCAGTCGAGGATCCTTCGATTAGCTCAAGCAGCCTTGTTGTCGTAAAGAAAGATTACAGCATGTCAAGCGATCAATTTATGCCTACAAAATACGCTGGATTGGTCACGCGCCACGATTTTCACAATCCGCTGATGCTACATAGTGAATGAAACACAGACATTTGTTAGCCTCTACCACATCGCACATAGCATTTATCCACAACCAAAAGCAAACTCTTGGTTTCACGCAGTCTTCGCCAGAGCCTCACGTCTTCCGGTACTGCTCGGATCCAAATACGGCTTCTCCCCCAACCCCACCACACGCTGCCCCGTGCGTGGGCCGAAATCCTCGTGGTCTGGGGTAGCCGCATGGTACACGCTGCGATTATCCCAGATCGCTGTGTATATGAGCCTTATTAGCGACTTCATTCCCTTGAACATCAAAGTAAGGATCCGAAAGGCAGCATCTTACCCAAATCATTCGGATTCTGCCACCGCAACCGAACCTGGAGATCATGATTCTCGACAATCAATTTCACAAACCAGTCCAGCAGATGGCGACTCTCTTCCTCAGTTAACCCATCAATCTTCTGCACATGGTGGCCCACAGCAAACACACTCTTCCAGCCCGTCACCGGGTTGGTGCGGATCACCGGGTGGGTGGCCTGCAGGACCTCGCCGACGTTCTCGGGGGCACCCCGCGGGCCCACGAACACATCGAAACCGTTGTTCTTGGCGATCTCATTGAACCCGGGCTGCGCGTAGGTGGCGGTGAGCCCCTCAAGGAATTTCTGGTAAGGCTCGGAGATGCGATCGTACAGCTCGTAGCCGGAGGCCCACAGGGTGTCTGTCAAGTCGTGGTCAGTCTCGTGTGATAGATTCAAGCAAGCACCTCATCCGGTTCAGGGCTAGGTTGTACTCACCCCCACCCGTCGTCGGCAACTCCGTCAGCCGCAAGATCGTATAGTCGCTCGGAATCGGCTCGAAGGTGATATCACTGTGCCACTCGCGCTTGTTGCTCTGGCGTTTTTCGAACCCCTTGAAGAGCTTCTGGCGCGCCCGCGAGCTGATCACGCTGATCTCGTTGTCCTTGTCGCCGTGCTCCCGGCTCGCGTTGATGATCGGGTGGACGTGCAGTCCCGAGGTGGAGGGCTTGCCGGAGAGTTGGCCCAGCCGCTGCACGAGTTCCTTTTGGAGGTCGTTGTCGAGGTCGTCTTGTTTGCGGAAGAAGACCACGCCGCGTTGGGATACTGTTCCATCTTTCGGTCAACAAGCGACTCAAGGAAGGTTTTTATAGATGTGAGGATCCTGTACCGGTGAGGGCGAGCTCTCGCAGGATATCATCAGAGTTCGGGGCGCGCAGCCATTCTTTCAGGTTCGCATTGCTGAACTCGCGACCGATGATGGGGGTCACGTCGAAGGAGTCGTAGGCGTCGAGTGCGCCGGTCGCTTGGACAGGTTCTCTTTGTGATGCCTTGGTGGGGATGGGAACGACATGGGCGGCCGTTTCGGTCAGAGATGGAGCCATGGTAGGAAGAAGGACACCTTTTTGTTGGATTCGGATGTGATCTGGTTGATTGAGTAAGTTGAGTATACTTGCATGAGGTGAGGACGATGACTTCTTATATCCCACTTCCTCTTCTAACCTTATCTTCTGAGACTCTCGCTATACTGCCTACAAACTCTAGGACATAGCACCCGTACCCCGCAGAAGTTCGTATGTCGCTGCATTATCGCGACATGCTTATCAGCTTGGCTTTGTGGAACGTTGCCGATACTAGATCCTGAGTTGCTGAAAGCGACGTGATTGAAGCTGCGGATAATGCCATATGCTGCCATGCACGGCTTATCGCCGACTTCCGGTGAGCCCATACGAGGGGTTGGTCACGCAAATGCCGGTCTCGAATCAGGTATATGTCAGCCGATTGACCAGGGTATAGTCAGTACTTTCTTTTTTATCATCAGTAGACTTCCATTTACAGTTATAAGTGCCTTGTCCGACCTACTCTCTAGTTGTTGCTAGTCGCGGTTATGCAACTCCCTTGTTCCGCATATGTCGGCCATCACCGAAGTCGATTATCTATGATCGCAATAGTCTTCTTTTTGTGCAGTGTGTCGGGCTACGAAGGAATGGAAAACAAACAATGGTGTGAGGTTGTCTGAGTGGATTTCTCCTAAGTTTTATTGTGCTACTGCAATCTTTGTAGACCCAGAAAAATGAATATAAAAGCACCAACAACAAAACACTATTTACCACAACTGATGTATCACTGATACTCCAGTCATAGGAAATAATCATCTATGCTCTGAATAGTCTATCCAATTCATAAATCGGATCAATGGGTTCTATAATCCTAAGTATAATTTACTCTTTCGGCTTCTCTGATCTCCCTCCACGGAGCCCAGCTCTGCCCCGACTACAAACTGTCTGCTCTTTTTACTAATGACATGAATCCGTCCTCTACTCCCTACGCTTGCGAGCTTCACTCACTATCTTATCTGCAAGCCTCTAGTAGCTTGTGAAGGAGTATTCAATCACAGTACATCTCGAGGCTTCTCAAATTCAGCTCCCAGCCCTTCGAGCCAGGAGATTGCTCGAAAGAGATTCAGCTCCTTGCTTGTGCGTCTTCAGCGTCTCTGAGCTTCCGTGAACTCTAAATAATGGATACGGTGACTCAATGAGCCTCTTCCCAATACCCGTATGCTCACCAACGTTGAATGGTTCGATGTCCTTTGCTGACAATTTTGTAGGATCCTGAAATGCTTCACCTTTTCTTTCCTGAACACAAGGATGAAACTTCAAACTACAAACTCCAGTGAGCGAATATCTTAGCGGAGATACCCTTCGGGCACAAGCGTTCGTACCAGAAACGAATCTTCTGATACAGTATACTAACTTTGCCTATAGGTTGTCATGCTCGAACAATACTTCACCCCACCTGTCTTTTCTCTTCTCCATCAATGATACTTTTCAGCCCATCGGGAAAGGTGAAGAAGATCGGTTGCGGGGGAGTAACCATCGAAACAGTAACCACCACAAGCAATTGCAATCAGGTTTGCAGGCTATATCACCAGGGGTTGGGTCAGCCATACAGGAAAGGGGTAGGGAAGTAATTCACCGAAGCTCTTCTCATCGTGCATATTCTGCTCAGCACCATACTGAGGGCTTCGTGTCATGTCCCAAAGAAGCTGCAGTCAGCTGACCATCATCTCGCTTTCAAGGTCAGCAGTGATAAGCAGTCTTTATAGCTCAATGCCACCATTTAATTACATAACCTATCATCCTAATTGCACTCTGTTTGTAAAGATATAAACAACATGAAATCTAACAAGCAATTCTGTTTGATATACAAAGATGCTAAATAGCCTTGATATCGTAAGTTCCACATGTTGACGCCCTACCCGACCGCACCAATAGAGTGGGTGAGAATAGTGCCACTGGCCCACCGTTGAGACCCATATCATCTCGTCTTTTAACGACTTTACCTATTAGGTGACAAACCCGCGACTCCGTCCCTTGTTGTCTCCGAGCTTAACGCCGAGCCCTTCAGCCAGCTTTGCGGCAGTGTTGCATGGATCCACATTTACTGCTGTGCTCACAAACCTACTAGTTAACTTATAGGTATGAATCTCTGTGTTCAGGTTGATGGGCGATGTGTCTTCATCCTGGGTGGGTCATATCTCACAGCATATGCGTTTGCCAGAATTTCTTCAGATGGCAGCGCGATCATACAACATACCCGTAAGCTCAGCCTGACGGCCGAATGGTCAGCCAGCCAGCCAGCCTTTGCCGAGATGTCAGATTTTAGTTTGCTCCGACTGCTATAAGAATGAGCGTATCGCAGTCACTGCATGGAGATCTTCTTCGAACATCCATCCTCCTCTCACTACCTACTCAACGCCACACTTCATATCATCTTCCCTATCGTCTTCCGATCCCCTAGCATTCAAGATGACGACCCCCAACCGCGGAGTCTCCCTCCACATCACCATCCACCTCGATCCGGCAAACCTGCCCAAATTCTGGGAAGCTTTCCAGCCAGTTTACGACAATGTCATCGCGGAGCCCGAGTGTACCTTTTTCGAGGTCTACCAGTCGCCGGAGGAGCCGGGCACTGTATCCTGGGTGGAGAATTGGTATGTCTATTTCTCCCTTGCCTTTATCTGGTGTCGGGATTTTTCAGGCGCCGCAATATTCTTGAGCATGAGACTTACTCACCGTCTGCAGGTCACAAACTGCCGAATGGCTTTTCAAGGTAAAGCGGCAATCTTCCCTCGGGTGAGATCACTACGTCGCTGACACTTGATTTAGGTGCAAATACAGAAACCCTACTACAAGGACTATCTGGCGATCACTGAGCCGATGTTCATCAAGCCCCGCGAAGCGAAGATCCTCAACCGGGTTGGGGCGCCCTATTTAATGGTTAAGTCTACGAATCAGGTCTAGATATTATGAATTGAATTCATGCCTTGGCTTTTAGACCAAGGGCTTCATACCTTGTATTGTCTCTTTTTTGTGGTTCTAATTATGCTCTAAGAGATAGGTCT